GCTCTCTCTCACTGTCCTAACAAAGTTCTCTGGTTCTGAGGTGTACCAACAGTACAAGGGGTCCTTCTCTATGTCTTCACTCTCTTCATCACTCTCACTTCCAATCTGAAATTCCTGCTCTGACTTTCCTGAACTAGCCGAAACCATCAAAACTCTCCCGAAGTAGTCAATTTCAAGTTCCTCAGAGTCTTCGCTCAGCTCGAACTCCTCAGGAAAGCTGGTCGGTGGATCACCGATGTGGTGCATTGTTACCATCCTGATGATCGGCTTCTGGGACCTGATGAACTGGCTGATGTTGTCGCTGTTCTCGATGTTGGAGCTTGGGTTGAGGCTGTTCCTCTACTTGGGGCTTCACTCTGAGTTTCCTGCATTTCTACATTCCTAGCCGTGTACCCCATGTCTCTCTGTTTCTTCCTACACTGGGCCTCAAAGTGTCCATACTTCTGGCAGTAATGGCAAACTCCTGTAGCTGCTTGGGCCTTTCCTTTGCCTTTACCTTTGTAGTTACCTTTGAACCCTTTGTAGCCTTTTCCTCTGCCTTTGAAACCTCTAAAGCCTCTACCTCGGCCTTTCCAGTTTCCACCTCTGCCTTTGCCTCTACCTTTTCCTTTGCCTCGACCTTTGAAACCACCTTTGCCTGAATCCTTGCCTGAATCCTTACCACCTTTCTTTCCTTTACCTTTGTACCCGTACCAATCTCTACCTTTGCCTTTCCAAGCCTGAGACACATCCATGGCTGCAACACCCTGATGATCTTCTCCCTTGTCGATTAGGTCAGTAGTGGTCCTATAGGGTGTTCCTTGGGACTGCGTAAGATTCGTGGAATCGTAAGCGAATTGGTCCACTTCTCGGTCGACTCATAGTTCACAAGATACTGCCTAAGTGCCGGGTACTTCGTCTTCTCATCTAGGTTGAGCAACAAATGTCTCTTTACTTCAGGCTTCATTCCTTGAATCAATGTGCTAACCTTCAAGTTTTCCTGCACCTTTTCTCCAGTGGACTTCTCGTACTGCTCAATGCGTTCCTCATATTCGAGGATGTTCTCTGCAATGCCTTTGTCCTTGGCAAAACGGAAATTCATGATGTTGTGGAAAAGTTCCAGCGATCTTGCTCTATTCACAGGCTGGTATTCTAACAACAGCATCCTATAGGCTTCCATACCGTTCTCTTCTGTCGTATGGCGAACCACACGATACGGTCTGCCTTTGGTGTAAGACGCTAAAATGCTATACAACTTCCTGCTTTGCGTTTTGGCCTCATCAGTCATATCTTTCATGTCCAGCACTTCATTCTTCCTTAGGTCGTTCTCCACGAGGTCCATGGTTTCCACAAGATCTTCATCCATAGCGCCAAGCCAGACTCGAAGTCGTTGCTTGAACTCCATGAAACCATTCTTTTCTTCTTGCCAAGTTCCTGGAGAAAATATTTCTGGAGGCTTGATGAGTTTGTGAAGCTCAACGTCACCTGGCTTTCTTCCTTTCACTGCTCTCTCTAGGCTGCTTCCGATCTCCTCGAAAGTTGTCACTGCTGTTTCCTGTGCTTGAAGCAAAATGTGTTGTGCCTCTGCACTCTGCTGCTGAATTGCCTGCAGTGTATTGCTGAAGCTTGCTGTGATGCTTTGCTCTCGGGCTGTGCCGGCTGCTGCACTGCTCCTCATCTCTTCTGCTAAGGTTTGTATTCCTTGAAGCGTTTGCTGGTTGATTTCTGCAAGTCTCTGTAGTGCATCTTCCATTCCTTTGGCTGCTTCCAAGTTACTGTTCACAAGCACAACAAGAAACATTGTCTTGTGCTGTCTCCTCACTTCTGCTCTTCTTCTCCTGCTTTTCCTTTTGGGCTCTTTCGCTCTCTTCGTTCTTTTCTGTACTGCTGTAAAGAACAATCGTGAGAAGTACGATAGGATGATCCAAGTAATCATTCCTAGAGGTGTTCCTGCGAAAACTACAAGATGAATTCCTTCAAACACTAAGCTGTGCACGACGTCGTGAAACTTCTTTTCTAGCTGTTCGAACTGTTCCTTGAAAGGGATCTTTTCTATATTGTGAAACTTTCCTTCTTCTAGCTTCTCATCTACTAGCTTCTCATCTACTAGGTACCTAGGAGCGTAGCCGGACTCAAGGCTCTCATCTTCTTCACTCATGTACATGTCGATGCTCCTAATCGTGTAGGCATTCATGAAGTCCTGGTTCACGGAGTACTTGTCGTAGTTCTTCTGAGAATGCGTATTGGGCTTTCCTGGGATGCTCGTCCACACAACCATCAACTCACTCTCGTCAATCTCGGCAATCACCTTTCTCCCACGTCTTTCTTCCTTGGAGGATCTGTCATCTCCAAGGGCAAGTTCATCCTTGGCTCTTCCGGGTCCAAGGGCCTGCCACGGATTCTCTTCGAAGCCATATCTTCCTGGAGTCATGCTCATCCCGCACAAAGTGGCGAGGCTCCCCAGGGCAAAACCAACCAGCAGCACTATGCCTGCTGCCATTCCGTAGCATCTCATGTTCCTCGTCTTCACTTCCTGAATCGTGTATCGTTCAGGGAAGCAATTGAAGCAAGGGGCAAAGTCCCTCACTCTTCCACCAGCAACCGTCAGGTTCCTGATGTGACCACAACCTGGTTTGTGGCACCTTCTTCCTGCTCTTGTTGCTATCCGGACTGTGGGGAGGTACTCGAAGAACTCTCGGACTTCGACATTCTTTTCCTGTTTCCACATTTGTATCATCCCACAGACGAGAGAAGCCATCATGGCTATGAGGACGATTCCTACTCCTGCTATGTGTAGCATCATCGCTGCCTCTGGTTCCTGGAACGGCAGCTCCGCTACCATGTCAAAGATAGGGTCAATCTAAAGCTAACTGAAAAGCTGGGACACTCCGCACTTTTCCTGGGTTCGCTGCGGTGTGTGTCCTTGTTCGAGCCTGTCGTCGACAAGACGTTCCGAGGCTCTGGTGTGCATTCCACATGCACCTGGTGCACAGCTTCCTGTACTGCGTAGATGTTTAACACATTTCCTAAATTTCATTCTATTCTGTACGATCTTCGTGGATTTTTGAAATCCTGGAGCATCTATAATTGGTGCTTTTGGACGCAGATGTCGCTCGCACCTAAGATGAAATCTATAATATAGGCGGCTAACGTAAATTTCCTGAAAATTTTGGACGTATAAATTTTCTGAAAATTTAGGAAAATGATGAAGCAAATTTTCCGGAAATTTAGAGATCGAAATTTCGGGCTACCCAGACTCAGAAATTTCCGTAAAATTTTAGGGCTAGAGCACTCCGACGTGTAGCGTGCCGCATAAGATTAAGTTGACCATAGCATTTTATAGAATTGACGTACGACACACGACGCAAAACAACGACGACGATGCGCGACGACGCCGACGACGCGTCATGACGACGATACGTGACGACGACTTCGCACGACGACGACGACGACGACGCCGCACACGACGCACGACGCGCGAGACGTGCGACGCCCGAAACACGACGCACGACGATGATGACGACGCCCGACGACGACACCCGACGACGACCACGACGACGACGACGAGGACGACGACGAACGACGCACGACGCACGACGCACGACCCACGACACACGACGCACGACGGACGACGGACGACGCACGACCACGACGACGACGACGACGACGACGACGACGACGACGACGACGACGACGACGACGACGACGACGACGACGACGACGACGACGACGACGACGACGACGACGACGACGCACGACGACGACGACGACGACGCACGACGACGACGACCTGGTATTGCCAGGTAATGCGCTTTGTAATGCCATAAAACAAAGCACGCTCGTAATATCCTGGTAATGCCAGGTGATGCGCTCATCTTGGAAGTGAAGTAAAAGTCCTGTTTAATATTTTAGCTTTGTAATGCCACAAAACAAAGCACGATTGAAAACAATGAAAGCATGCAATGAAAGCATGCAGCAACATGGCAAATGATCAACACCTGAACTCAACGGTTCAAGCGGTCAACAATGCTTCGACATTTTCGGCCACCCAGCACCCTAAATTTTCCGGAAATTTAGGGAGCTGGGCCGTGGCTTCTGAACATGATCAGGCTGCATCCGTTTCCTAAATTTCCTGAAAATTTTGGGTGTATAAATTTTCGGAAAATTTAGGAAAGCGATGAAGCAAATTTTCCGGAAATTTAGGGACCGAGGCTTCGGGCTACCCGGAACCAGAAATTTTCCAGAAATTTAGGGGAGCGAATCCGGCTTGCGGCCGTCGAAGAGGCCCAGCCTTTCAAAGGGCACAACCCAAGCCCCAAAATTTCCCGGAAATTTTGGGTCCCGGGTAGGCCAAAGCGGCTTGCTCGCCGGGGTCCAGAAATTTCCGGAAAATTTTGGGGCTGGGGCACTCCGAGGCGTGACGCACCGCATAGGGCTGGTTTGACCGTAGCGTTTTATAGAGTAGATTTTCTATTCCATTCTTTCTCAGAATGATTCTTTCTATTCCACTCTTTCCTATAATGAATCGTCCTCTCGAATCCAAAGATTCCTCTCAATCGTATTCCCAATATAAAAATTCTTTCTAATCCATAATAAATCGTATTCTCCAAATTTTCGAGTTCTTACCCATAATAAACCGGATCTTAATATTTCTTGCTCCTCATACATTCTGGAAAACCCAATATTGAATCCAATATTATTTATTATCTTCCGAAAAGTCTTGTCATATATCGCAAAATTAAATAAATGGGAAAATTAGATAGAAATCTTTTGAAATATTTCTCATGTTCATTTTCAATGAGAATATTTCCTTCTTCTACCGAAACCCGTAAAATGCTTCCGAAATATTCGTAACTAGCAATTTCACATATATCAATATATTATAGATTTTGAATATATGAATATCCTATTCTTATTTTTATCGTCTTTTGATTTTGACCGAGATGATTGAATTTGGGGCCTCAAAACGCCACATGATTCTATCGATTATGATCCACCCTTCGATCCTTTTTCAAGACGTACTATCGATCTCTGCAAGATCTGTGCCAGACCCGCGAAAGTAGGAAGCCCACCAAGGAGAAGCCAACCATGAACGAGGCGTACCTCCGTAGGGAAACCCGGTTGGCCGAAAATAGAGCAAGACGTTGCCAAAGAGCTTGGACGTGGAGCTTGCAAGCAACACATGTTTCATGGTTGCAGTGCAAAACCATGAAAAACCCAACACAACTACACTGAAGTCATGCCGCTCTTTCCAAACCGAAGGCGCTAGACCCTTCTCCCCACAGCCTCCCGCAAACTCTCACCCTTGACTTTCCCCGAGACCCAATTTTCAGGCGTCTCTGTTTTTTCTAATAGATAGGAACATACGGAAGCTGATCTTGGCCTTCACTAAACACCAAAAAACCAAAACCAAAATCAGGAAAGATGCTTCCAGTCTTGAAGTCCTGCAGGCTCGTCCCCAGGTTCCGGGTGCCAGTTCATGCCCCAGGCGTGGATGCTGAGACAAAGCTGACAAGAGGTTCAAAAGGAGAGGGGGGGATTTAGGGTTTAGGGTTTAGGGTTTATAGGGTTTAGGGTTAGGAGTTGATGTGGTTGATGGTCTACTTGGGGTGTGGGTAAGGGAATACTCCGCGGAAGCCCGAAATCAGGAAGGTGGTCAGCTTTCGAGGCTTCATGTCAAATCTTGAGGAGAAAATGTCTGAACCATTGGGAGTTTACGAAAATCGGGGTACCCCGTATATATCCCAAAATGCGAGATAACCCTTTTAAGGGAACCCCCAAAAAGGGTACCCCTATTGTTGGAAAGCCCCATTTCAACTTAGGACAGTACCAACCCCAACCCCCAGGTTGTTGTCCGCCACAAAAACCTCAGTACCTGAACGCTGTACCTCGAAGCACGATCATATCAGCCTTCAACCACTGTTGGGCCCAGATTCTTGCTCAAGAGATCAAACCAGATGGTGTAGACGCCCATGTCCAGCAACCACACGGCTGTGTCCCTCAAGAACTCGGCCTGCGACAAAAGAACGCTGCAGAGGTTGCTCGGAAACAGAAAGGTTGCTTGAGGGTTTAGGGCTTTTAGGGCTTTTCAGGTTTGCGGCATGTAGCCTTAGGGGCTTGAGCAATATTAGGCAGGCTTGCGAGAACATGAAGCTGGTGCCTTCAAAGGCCAGCGATGCGGGAAGTTAATCATATGACTCTCAGCGTCGACCGCATCCGCCAGGGCGATGCTCTTGCCGTTGAAGTTCAGCAGAGCCGAGCGTTCCTTGTAGGCCTGGATGTGCGGCATGCCTGCAGGCGGTCGATGGTACCTCGGACTGCCGCATGGTGGACAAAAGCCGAAACAAAAAATTGCGCCCCAAAACAAGAAAAGGATGAGGATGAAGAGGCATGTGACCAGGATCCTGCTCCATACATCTTCTGAAAGCACTGGATCTGCTTCAAGCTTCGCCACCATCCGGAGTTGGGCCGCCAGTGGGTATAGGGAAGCAAGAACTCAACAAGATTCTTCTTTGACCTGGGGGGCACAAGAAACTCGTCGATGTCTGAAAACAGTAGCCAGAAGCTGGGAGTGCTGTTCCTCAACACCACCGCTTTCTTCCACAGGTCATACCTGACTGTCAGTGTGCTCCAAAAAACAGGATGTTTTACTTGCCTTTGACACAAAAAGCGCAAGTTGTAAATGAACAATCCTTTCGGCATCGAGCCAGTGTTCGTTAAATCAGGGACAGTTGCTCTTGCTTCGCGATCCTGGCAAACGCCGACCCTTCAGGAAAGGGATATCGCTCCAACTCCACAATGCCAGCCTGAACATGTGGCGCCAAAGTTGCATCCAACGAGGAGCTGTTGTGCCGGTTCATGATCACGAAATGGTCCACGCCCATTGCAGTGTGAAAGTCAATCCTACAGGCTAATTTAGCAATAGGCTTTAGGTGGTGGCTACCCCAGAAAGGGAGACACTGTACTCATGAGCACCAAGAAACCAATCCGCCAGGTACCGCTCCTGCCCCGCAGCGACCTCAGCCACGCTGGTCAAGAAAGACTTCCTGCACACGCGCCATCCAGGCTCCCCGCTTGATTGATGCAAAACCTCTGCAGACCGGCTTTTGTAGGAATAGTAGCCAGGCACGCAATATTCCCTCTGATGGTACTTGCCGATCCGGTCCTCGAGGCTCGTGTTGCGAAGCTTGAGCAGTAGGGGCATGTACCGCAAAGCGCTCTCATCGTGCACTCCACTATTCGTGCTATTCCGATGCCGAAAGTTTCTTTTCGCAACATCCAGCTGGCTGCCGCTCGCGTTTATTCCTTTAGCATATTCCTTTGTGCGGAAGTAGTCTGCCCAGCCAGGGCCCGACTGCAGCTCCAAAAACTCTTCGTAGCTCAGCGCTTGGTAATGGAACATCGTCGACAACTGTGGCCACAAAACTGTAGAGATTGGCTGCTGCCAATTGCAAGTGTTGCCGTCGTTGCACCTCTCTCTCCATATTGCAAGGGTACCAAGCACCAAGAGCACCAAGAGCACCAAGAGCCCAAGTCCAAATGCAGCTTTCCTACCCGGCCGCAAGCCGCACAGCATCGCAGAGCATCGCGGAGCATTGGCCAAGCTGGAAGCTGTTGTGCTGACGTGGTCTCTTCTTATGTGCTGCTGCTCCAAGACGCAACAATGCTGCACTCCACTCCGACTGCATCCCACAGTCTTCCTATCCACTTGGCCGTGCAACTTTAGTGCTTCCAACTTGTGCGTAAAAATGCGAAAAACAAAGATGAAGGAAACCGCAACAGCCACATAAAGTTGGCCCAGCGAGCGGAGCGCATTCCCAACAGAGCATTCCCAACACTGCACTGGCAGTCTACCAGACAAACCTAAACAGTGAGGATCCAAAACTGCTTTGGCCGTGCATGTTTTATCCTAGGCCGTCCCGGAACTAGGACGTGAAATATCGAACGTTCTTCATGCTGAGGTCCCAAGTGGAACAATGAGTTTGCGGTGCCTCATGCTGCAAGAATAAACAACCGAAATGTCCAAACAGAAGTACAACTGCGGGGCTTAACCAGCTGGATTCATACGAACAGCACATTTGCAGTGCTTTTGTGCGTGAATATGTGTGTCACAATGCAGGGACAAATTACGCCTTGCATTGCGCAAACCAAGTCTCACAATGGGCCACTTGTATGTATCGCATAGTATACCACCACATGGGCCTCATCGCAACCGAGGCCGTGCTTCTCATGCCCCTTCAGCCTTAATATCTGGTGGCCAGAGCCTCAATTCCACCGATGCCCAAGAAACTGTTCAGCATAAAAGTTTTCACAGGCACACGACTCGCAACTTAACATAACTTAACTGTGTGCTTGCCTACCCCTGCCTTGACACCTCACTCCTCTGCTTGAGTGTTGCCCTCAACACTCCCAACTTCAGACAAGCCCTGCGATTGCGACGCAGAGGAGGGGAGAGCCTAGTTAAGTGTGCGTGTGTGTCCGTGTGTGTCTGTGTGTGTGTGCCTGCGTCATTATTATAGACTTGCTGTATGAATGGAAACATGAGTGAAACATGCAAGCCACAACAGCAGCCCTCCGACTCACACCGCTGTGCCAGCACCTACGTCAAAATGCTGCACCAAACTAACTTACGAGCATCCAAATCAACACGCTTTCCAACAGTGCGAAGCGAGAGTTCTTGTGCGTTCTCGTGCATCAGCTGGCTTCTGGCTTTGCTGCACTTTACGTCCAAGTCGCCAATCTATTCGGCTCCTCAAGCAAGGCTGAACATCCCAGAAGCTGCAGGACGATCGCCCTTGTCTGCTGGCAGGCACCGGAAGAACCAGCTTCAGCTTGCTGCGGCTGCGGCCGCTTGCGCTCTTGTGCGTCCCCGCCGGATCTTGCCCATGGTGTTTGGGACTCAGACTCTGCGCCATGCCATGTGGGATGGACAACATGCAGTGCCAAAGAAAAAGGTCACTGTAGCTCCGTGGGAGCTCATGAGGCATCATGATCGCGGATCAGCTGCCATTATTCCTGTTCATGCGCGGTGGGTCTGCTTAGACAGCGGTGCTGACCAACTTAGGGTTCGCACCCCTCGACAGGATGATGGTCCTTGCGCACACGCAGTGGCGCTGACCCCTGAGCAAGCGGCCGTCCAGGCAGAACACAGGTGCTCCACATCACAGTCCAGAAAACAACTCGTTCTGCTCCGCGGGCCCTCAACCATCCAGATATTGCTTCGCAGGCCCCTTGCCAAGTCTTCAAGTCTATTTCACCGGCCGATAAACCCTTGCGCACAGACACCACACTCATGCCAAGCCCCTTCGATTCAGGGCAGCCATGGGAAGCCTGGAAAGCACCCCTGCAAGGCTCCCCGGAGGCTCGCTCAAGCTCTTAAGTTCCCTTAGGGAGAGCTTAGGGTTTCGGAGGTCCAAACTGTTGCAGGATGTTGCAGGGCAAGTCTGCCAATAGCTCAATGGGCTCACAGTCGCCTGCGTCATACCGCCTGCGGTGTGCGGACATCCTGTTCAGGCCTATGCACGATTCGGGGAGGGAAACAGAGACTCGTGCATGGCACGCATGACGTTGCGCGATGCCGCCTTTTCGGAACCGTGCGTAGTGCAAGACGTTCGGACTTGCGTGCATTCGTGCCTCCTACAGCTGGTTGCGGCGTAATGGACGGCACTCGTAAACCCAGAAAATCCAGAAATCACGGCTCCTCCTCTAAACGTCTATCTTACCGCATCTGCCGGCCTTCGCATTTAGGTGCAGGTGCAATGAACTCAACGTCACCGTCGCATCGGGCCCGCGGGGTGCCCTCTCAGTGTCGGCTTCTCGTTGCTCTCAAGGGCCAAAAAAAGTCACTTGAAATCACACGATCACTGTTTTCCCCGGGCAAAACTTTCTGAGGCGCCTTTGTTGACTTTGCTTGTTTTGGATTCGCCCTCCGTTCTGGGGTGGCGTTGCACGGCTCGCTGCCGCAACGCAAGACAAAAGAGCGCGCCGAAGGCGCAGAACACGAGACTTCACGCTCATGGGCTGATGAGGCTCATGGTTTTGAACGGGTGAAAATTCACAGACCACGCGCTTCAACGCGCAATCAAACACTTCTTCATCCCCATTGTTGGCCGAGCTGACCTACTTGCGCAAAGCCAAAATGCGTCTCACCTAGAAGCGGCGCCACACTGCAAGCCTCGCCGCACGGCGCCCTGGAAGAGATACCGTCGAGGCTTCGCCGGGGAACCTTGGCCACATCCATGGACACACTGCCAAATCGCGGCGGCATGCCGCGGCACTATCAGCATCTCCAGCATTCTGCACTGCATTCTGGACTGCATTCTGGACTGCATTCTGGACTGCATTCTGCAGCCAAAAGCAAGTGAGCCCGGGCAGCCGGAGAAGCAGAGACCAAGTCCTCTTGGCCGCGAACGCTTCAGCCGAGCCGGAACAGCGGACAGTGCAGAATGCGCCGACTGCGCAGCCGCATCTGTCGACGCTGCAGGAGAATCGTTTGAACACTCACGGCTTTCACATCATAAGCCCAAGCACAGCTGGAAAGCTGGGGGTCCCGTGTTCTCGGGTTGCCAGGAGCAGTTGGGAGCCTTGGGCTATCTACTTTGATGGGCAATACCTCACGATGCTGCCTCGGATTCTTTGCACTGCTTTGCGCACCGCTTGGAGCTGTGTCGATGATTCTTGGCTGCAAGCTCTCAACAGAGCCATGGGCATTTCGAGCTGCGAAGAGGCGAGATTACCTTATACATTTTCTAACGCTCAACCGCACAGCAAAGCTAGGAAGCTCCCAACAGATTCCGCGCAACCGGTTTCTCTCCTAATCATCCGGAAGCAGTTGAAGCCAACAGTTTGCACACTACAAGAACCGCAGGCACGTGTAGAAGTCGGCCAAGAGCACCGCCACGAGGCAGCATGCCGTGCTCGCGGCAAAGTGGGAGTGTAGGGGGCATGTAGGCTATGTAGACTCCGGATGGGTAACTCCCACCTTCTCAATAGCAGGTTGCTCCTCCTTCGCAATTTGCGACGTCTAGCGAATGATGCGTTGATGTACCCAGCCAGTCTTTTGCAATGTATAGTCTGTTGGCCCCTCAGAATTGTCACGAGCTTCCCTGCAGGGCAATGATTATCTGTGCTTGTATGCAGCGACGGTTGGACCATGGTCGCAAAAGGGTGCAGATTTTGGACCGCCTGGTGTGACACAGATTTCCTGACCCAAGACCTGAAGCAGCGTCGTGCTCGCCAGTTCTTGTGGACTCGTCGCCTTTCTGCGTCCCACAGCTGGCACGAGGCGAATGAGGCGAATGGCAAGCTGGCACGTTTGGATGCGCCTGACACGAAAGGCCGGGCCAGAGGCCGGGCCAGGGAAGAGTTTATGCCTTTGATCCCCTCAGAGACCTGCAGAATTCCTGCAGCCGCAGTGCAGCACTCAGAGGGTAGCAAAACTTTACATATGCTGATCGGAAGGAGCCTCTTCGGATTGCCGCAGGCAACAAGCTGCAAGCAAAAACCGACAACATGGTGCCGAAAGCAGCTTCTGTTCAAGCGCTTTGTGCCCCGCCCTCCCAAGCTCTTTGGCCGAAGCCAACGTACTATCGCACGTAGCACGTAAGCAGGCTGCACATGGCGCATCGCCTCTACGATTCGAAGTGCTGAGGCCTAAGCTCAGACATCAATGCGAGTGACCCCTTCGGGCTTCATCCGGCATGCTTTGGCAAGGAGACGATTGCTTTTAGTTTTGGCAGGGTGTGGGGCCACGTGGGTGTGCGACTGCGTGTTCCCCCAAGAGTCATGCCCTTCACATAGGCACGCGCCCAAATGTAGTTTCTCTAGCTTCTGGCTTCAGTGTGCGCCCTACATGCCATTGCATCACGAACTCACTGAAAGCTGAAGAACAAGCACGAAGGCGGCGATGGAGAGCTGCGTCTTGTATCGGAGCCCGTCTAGTTGACTTGTCAAGATCTTGGTGCCTGCTTGAGTTTGGCTACATGCCTCTTTTGAGCGAGACTACCGTCCAAAAATGTGAAGCATCAGTTCTTGTGCATGACAAACAAGTGAGAAGCTTGCATGCTCCTGTCGACATCAAGATAACTGAAGAAGGCGCTCCACATGCTTACCACTGCGGCTGAGGGCGGCGCAAAGCACCAACAAAACAGCCCAAGCAAACACCGCAGTCCGGACGCGATGACATGCGGAATTAAGCATGACGCCGGCGGCTGCTAAGGCGAAATCGTGGGGCGTGCTACAAGAGGGGCTTGCGGGCCCCGACTGCCCCTTTCAGGCTACATGGCTATCAGGCCGGAGATCTGAAAAAATCCTGCCAAAAGCTCACACGGCCAGCGACGCCAGCACAACAGGAGCCGCACGCAGGGCTCAGCACGCGCGCTGGCCTGGAGCTCGGCCCGGTGGCATTGGGCAGCACCGAGAGCTCCTGGAACATGATCGCCCTCAAGGCGGCTGCATCCTCGCCCTCCCGTGCCGCGGCCACGGCGGCTCGCCTCCTTGTCCCACGCACCAGTGATCTCAGCAACGCGGGAGGATGTTTTAGGTGACGCCCTTGCATTGGCAGCGCGCTGATGGACT